GGTGCTTGAAAGTTATTCAAGTTCTTCGATCCATGGCTGGAAATAAATTCTCCGAGGGTGCTTGTATTGATAGACCTCCACTGTTTTGTGGAACAGATTATTCATTTTGGAAGATTAGGATGAAGATTTTTATTGAATCTGTTAGTATAAATGTTTGGAATATCATTGAACAAGAAACTGATATTTTTAACAAAGATTGGTGTAGCTTAAATGACTGTGAAAAGAAATTAATCAAAGATGATTGTATTGCCAAAAATATCATCATATCTGCACTTAACAGAAACGATTTTTTCAGGATAGCACATTGTCAAACTGTTGCACAAATGTGGAAGACCCTTAAAATGACCTATGAAGAAACAACAGAGATATGCTTAATGGTCAACTCTGATTCGCCAATAACCAGTGTAAGTTCTGACTCTATGAATTATAGTTCATTACAAGATGCTTTTTATGAAATGCATGCAGTAGAGAGGATTTCTACATTTCTTAAATATATAGTTATTGATTATCTTAAATAACATATTTATTCGTTCATGCTACTTTTAAACAGTAAAACATAATATCTTAAAATATATAACATTTTCTTTCAAAAATTATTTTGGGATATTTGACTTCTCAGAACTACCTTTTTTTTTCGTAAATATACAAAAAAAGTTAGTTTATTTTAAAATAAGTATGAATAAATAATACCTCAAAGCAAACTTTTAATAAAAATTCATATTTTAAAACAAAACTTATTTACTTTATTTATTTAAATAATATTGAAATATCATTTTAAAATAGATTAATTTAAATATCATTAAATTCTCTTTCTCAAAACAACCTTCACATATAATTTTTTTTAGTTGAAATCGTGATTTTAAAATATAATTTTACTTTTTAAAAAGAAGATTGTGCTTCAGAAGATAATTTTTAATACATTTTAAATTAAAAAAATAAAATGATATTTTAAAATACATTTTTTGTAAAAATTGTGTTTCAAAACATGATTAATGTAGACTTCTTCATTTAAAACAAGATTTATTTATTAGAAACTATGTTTTAAAATGCAACTTATATGTATGGATTTTTAAAAAGTTTACATATTTATTATTCAAAAATAAATTGGAAAAGTGCATCTTATGCAGTTGAGTGAAGTGTAGAAGAAAGGATTTTAAAAAAATATAGAAAACAGGGAAGGAATTGTTTAGAAATGTGATAAAGTTAGGAGTAAGTACAATGAATATTTCCTAAGTCTTTGGGCCTTTTTCAAGGACATGACAAGGAGAACAAGTCCCATCATTCATGCTGTTACCCATATGCATGGTTTTACGATTATATTCACAAAAACTTCTTTTTTCCACTCTCACCACATTTCTTTTAATAGGAATCATGTAAGATATAAGAGAATATATATATAAAAAAATTGGAAAAAAAACTCTAATATTTGTGTCATACCTGCCTCCTTGGAAAAAGTGGTTCTTATGTTATGTTGGGTTAAATCAGCAAGAGTGGAACATGGAATCAATTTTGATGGGAAAAGAATAAGAAAGAAAAGGCAAAAGATGATGAAGAAAGGGGAAAATAAAAGGTGGAAAGGGAATTTGTCCTTTGAAATCATTTTAGTTGGTGCCCCCATTTCGTTCAACCTAAATTCAAAAGGGGCATCATGACCCTCTACGTGCCTCGTATCATGGGGATGTGACTCCATTTTGTTTCTCAGATAATCAAAGTGTCTCCAACAATAGGGTTAAGTTAAGAAATAGCCCATAGAAATTGATACATCATGGGTGAAATAGATTTTCCTACCACATAATCTAAACTATGCCCCACTACTTTCACTTCATTCATTTTAATTATGGTAAGAAGTATCATCGATATTATATTGTTTATTATCACATCAAAACCTAAATTAGTAAAGTTTTTTTTAATAAGAAGTTTTTTAAATTCATAAAATTTTTATGGTTATCTTCGTGTTTCTTTATAATATTTTTATTAACTTTTCATATTATTTATTATTATTATAAAAGATGAATAATATTTTTGAATTTAATTAATAAAGAAAATATAAAAAAATATGATTTCGTCTAAAATCTTAGGACAATATATTTATAAGTTTTTTCACTTATATATTATCCAACTACTTTTTTTCATTTAATATAAAATTTCAATTATTATACCATTTTTAATCTTAGATTAAATCTTTGAAAACTTGTTTTAATTCAAATCGTATTATACTTTTAATTTATAATAATGAATTTTAATCTTAAGATATTATAAATTAAGTTTTACTTCAAACATTATAATTGAATTATTCTATTTATAAATTTTTACATTGTTTAGAGTCAAAAAATAATTTATATGTATCATTTTTTTCTTAACACATCATAATGAAAAAAAAACTTAAAAATTGAAATTAAAAATCAATTCTAATAATATTATTATAGTAAACCAGATCATCTTACGTAATTTCTCGAATTCAAACTAAATATAAAATAAAATAATTCTTTTATCAATCAAAATAATAATAATATATTTCCATCTCATTACTTTTTACCTATACAAAAATTTATACCAACATTATTTAACAAAAATGATAATGACGTTGTCTTTTTTAACTTGGTCATCCTGTTGATATCATTTTGAATATGAATAATGACGTTGAGATGTCATAAAAAAAGTATAAATTTACATAATTAATTAATTTAAAACGTCATTTTTACCAACATAGATAAGTAACTTGTGTGATTAATTAACCTGCTCCTTGATTATATTATTCAATTTGTCAAATAATTGGGAAAGTGGGTTCTCGTGACTGTGCAATATGGATCTAATTAACCTCACCCCTCCCCTTTTCCTTTTTCAGTTTATATAAAATCATTCTTTGCACCAATATAGTCAAAAAAGTGACCTATTCTTGTCAAATCAAACGCAATTTTTAACGTGATTATCATGGCATTTTTCCTTCATTATGAGTCTAATTATTTTGAATTACAACAACTTTGAATCTATAGTGTATATTTATTCTTACAGACGTATGCGTATATCACTATCATGTTCATGTTAATATAAATTTTTCTCTATATTTTGGTGTGTTCTCGCATGTCATATATTTTGCAACAATAATTAAAAATAATAGTGAATTGATGGCTGATATCGGCAATTTTATCTGGTTATTACTATAAATAAATGGTTAAAATAATAATTTTTTAACTTATTTTCAAATTAAAAAAAAAACTAAATTAAACAAATCCTTGTACTTGTACAAATTATCTATTGGGATAGGTGGAGGACAAACACTTGCAACTAATTTTTTATGTGATATATATTTGATTCGAATAAAATTATAGTAAAAAAAACACTTGCAAGTGGGAGATAAAAAAGTATATTCAAAGGCAAAACCACTGTGGTAAATGTACTTTTGACCATGGTGGAGTTTCCAGAATCAATTCCAACAAACTACGGCAAACATAATGGAATCGTATGGCACACAATTGCATCTACTCACAGGATTTTGCACTGAAATTCCAATCATATACTTGATGTTCACTCTCTCTTTAATTCTAGATTTTGTGGTTGGGTGTCGTAGCTTATATTGCTGCTTCAGTCAGGGTCAAATTGTCCATGATGAGAAAAGTTCTTCAAATCTATATAAGTTCATGTCAAGGAGAGAATTTCTAACGCCAATAAGCTGTTAATTGTACCTCAGAGCTGAAATTCTTTCATCATGTTCTTTAAATGTAAGGTTGATATGTTGCAATCAAACTTACCAATAAGATATTTTCAGTAGTGAATACCAGAGATAATGAGGCCAAAACTTAGTTCTAAATTTCCTGATAATTTTCAAAGATTACAAAGTATATGGGTACAAATACTGCTCATAGAAAACAAAGACCTTCCAGAGCCATCAAATACCGATTATTATTAACGTTTATTATTCACATTTCAGAATCTACACCTGTTTTGGTTCCTCAATCCACTTTGATCTTAGCAACTTGAGCAGCATTCTTGCTTTTGTTTTAGTTTTGGGGCCACACTGACTCTGGAGAAGAAACAGCAACTGAGTCAAAACTCCAGCACCAATTGCTTCCTCTCTTGCACGCCCAAAATCACGGCAAACAATTCCAAGTATTCCAACAGCACTCTCACTACACTCTTGATTACACACCCTGAAAACCATCTTCACCAAAGTTTCAATCCCATTAGGGTGATTCACCAGTGCCTCTTTAGCACTCTCTAGCACCAAAAGGTTCTTTATTATTGCCATCGCCAATGGAGCCAAGTTCTTCTGCCTTGTTTCACAACCTGAAATGTATATTATGACCCCATCAATTGCTCCTGCCCTCACTAAATTGTCTCGGTTAGATTTCAAGGAACATAATGCTAACATGGCCTTAATTGCAACCTTAGAAACCTCACAACCTTGGCGAACAAGTACAACAATTTCATGCACCAGTTTTTGAGAGTGTCCAAGCATGTGACATACCTCTTCTGTCTGCGGTGATGCTGTTGAATCTATAAGTTGACAAAGAGTAGTCTTAACCGAGCTAGTTCCCTTTTCAAATAGTAGCAAGAACGTTGTTAACTTAGACTCATCTTTGATCATATTTAGAGGCTCCAAACTCACAAGGGGCAACAACTTCAGAATGCAAGAAAGTGCTAGCTCCGTGAACTCCATGTGACATTTTGAGAACTCGGTACCAAAAACTAGTTCCAAGAGTAGGGGCAAGAAACTAAGTTCGTGGAAACAAGATTTTCTGAAGAAGCAATACTCATCGGAGAGAACTCTAATTTTCTCAAGTGCTTGGAGCTTGTTTTCCAACTCAGGAGATTCAAGGGTGTGCTTTAGTGCAGCTAAATAATCAATATTGGCTGAGTTACCAAATTGGGGACCCAATTGGAGCCACTGGTCGATCAAGTGGCGAAGAGTGTGGTTGGGAACAATGGATAGATCATGAAGTTTCTGCATTGTTACAGGGCATGTGAGATTTCCAGCAGAGAACCATTTCTCTATGCTTGATCTGTCATAGGTTTGGCCAGTGGACAAAGTTACTGGATCTTCGAACAAGTCCAAACTGATGGGGCATCTGAACAAGTGAGGAATGGTAATTTCAATTTGGGCTTCGTTCATGGAAAGAAGCTGAAGATTGTTCCAAAGACCAAAGAAAGAAGCAAACAGTTGCAATTACCAAATGGAACTTCTATTCAACCAGGTGACAGAAAAGCAAAGTGGGTTGGTTATTCTGGAGATATGATGTTGGGGGCAGCATAAAGTTTGAGGCTTTAGGTGTGGCCAATGCAAGACAAGTATTTTGAGGCACTCACTAAATCACTAATGCCATAAAGATGGTGTCAGAAAGTAGGATACTTTTTTTCTCCTTTGGCTACTAAAGCCTTGAGACAGCAGAAGTTAATGACAAGAGGTAGAAACTAGAAACTCTAGAAAGTGGAGTGGTGAGCCTGAATAAGTGGTAGAGGAGTGAGAAATGGACCATTGTGAATAGCATGTGATGGGGTGAAGAAAAATTTATAAAAGTTGGGAACTCACATTCCAAATTGGAGTGAGAACAGAAAAGAGGAGTGGAGTGTGTGTGAGGAAGTTCATTTAAGCCTGCATTTTCTTGCTGACAGACAAGACAGTAGAGAAAGAGAAAGAGCAAAAGTGCAATCTTACTAGGAAAAAACAGGAAAGAACACCCACATACAGAGGTCCAAGAAACAGACCTTATCACAACTAATAATATAGAGTAATTGTGGGAATGGTCCCCACCATGCTCCTACAATCCAGTCAAACTGACCCACCAAAAGGGCAAATTATTGTTAATGTCTTTCAAGTTTGAATCACTATTTGCCTGGTGTTTAGTGGGCGCCAACTCAAGTCTCTTCCTGTGGGAAATACATTTTCGATACTTGGATTTATTAATTTTATAATCAATGATTCAGATTTTTCATTTCTTTTATGCTGATAATTCATCTAGGCTTTTTGGAATTCTAAATGTGATTTCTAATACGTAGTATCAATTTCTAAAAGTAATTCTTTTAGAAAATTCAGATTGGTAAATTAAGCTATGTGTTTGCTTCTTAAAAGTGAAATTGTGTGATTGTTACAATAAAAACATTGAAAAATAAAGCTTTTTTCGTGAGGAAAACTTTTTTCTTTACTTTCAAAAAATTGTAGTTTATAATATTTTTCACTTCATATTTTTTTTCTTAAGTAAAATTTATTTGTTGTTGCATTCAAACTAAAAAAAGTAACTTTAAGCTAATTAATTCATTTGGATGTAAAAATTTACATATATAAAAAAAAGTGTGTATGCAATTGAGATGAAAAAAATATTAAAAAATAATTATAATTTTTTTTAGTAAAAATAAATTAAATACCATACGAAAACTTTTTACAAAATTAATGACCCGATCGACTTATAAGATCCCAACTTTTCCAAGCATGTTATTAATGTATTTCAAATAATAAAAAGACTTATGGTGAAAGATTTTTAAAAAAAATCAAGAATAGGTAAAGTGTACAAGTGTATTTTATTTTTTATCAATAAATAATTAGATAAAACATATTAATTTCATATTTTTTAAGTCATATTTGGTAAGATGAAAGAAGAGAATGGATGAAAATAAAACTTAAACCTACTAAATATTTGTTTTTATTTGATAGATTTTTTTATGCTTACATGACTATATATTTTCTTGTTCTTGAATAAAATATTAACATTTATTAATGTATCAACAAAAAAAAATTATTTTATTTTTTATTATAGATTATATTTTAATTTTATATTATTTTGAAATCAAAGAAATTTATATTCACATTATTATTTTAATTCATTAAAATGTTTTTTAAAAATAAAATTATAATAAATAATATCTTAATAATATTATTATCTCTATTTTCTGACATAAACATATATTTATTAATTTTTTGATTTATTTATTCTCCATTTTTATTTCCTCTGATATTCTCCTGATATTATATAATATATTAAATTTTAAGGTGTTTGAATTGTATATAACAAAAACAAAAAAAGACCACTTTGAGTTCCTTCAATTTTGATTGGATGGAAGGATGTGGTGTTATGTTGTTTGATTGATTTAGATATGTATTTAATGCTAGTCATAAGGGTCATGAGAGGAGCAATAATATGTGAAACCACTTGATGAACACACACCGTTGGATATTTATTATAACCTCAAATCAAATCCCATGATTCAAACGAATATTCCATCTTCCCATCTCTGCCTTCCATTTCACAGCGCAGTGAAAAACGGAGATTGATTAACCGTCAATTCGGGGAGGGATAAATATTCCATACAATAAGTGGCATGGGATGTTGGTGGACCCTCTTGTCATAATTCCCAAATAGATCTTCGATTAGGGTTCCTGCATGTTGCCAAATTATGAACTCAAATCACACTTTCAACTCACCCCAAGTTGCTGTCCCCCTTCACCCATTATTTTAGAATTTTTCAAAAAGAAGAAAAAAAAAGGTTAAAGAGATTCATTTCCTTTTTCTTTTTATTTCTCTTCTTAGTGGAGATTCAAAAAGTCTTCACTTTTAATCAAATAATCAAAAGAGTTTTGTTCAAATTAATTTATAGTTCTGCAATTTATTTATTTTAATCGTTTGAGTAAATATTTCATGATAATATTACATTAATTTTTTTTACTAAATATCTTTGAATTTTATATTATTTTTAATTTATCAAATATTTAATAAAATAATTGTTTGTACTATTTACAAGAAGAATGTTTTTTATGGCTTTTGGGTCATAAATTATTTTATAAAAATAATTTAATTGCTTGAAAAAGTTATAAACTAATAATCACATGTTTGTTCACTACAAAAAGTAATCGTCCTCTTTATAAATTAATTTCTTGAAGATAAAACCGTTTTTACTTATATATTTTAATAATATATAATGAAATAAAATATTTTTAATATTTGATTTTATATAATAAAATAAGATATACACCTGTAAGTATTTTTCCATGGTTAAGTCAGCATAAATGAAGAAAATAACCGTATAAAATATATGTAAGAAAAAAATGTATATATTATATTGTCATAATTATAAATTTTTTTATCATAATTTCATTTATTTATTTGAAGAGGATCTAAATCCTTCTAATATTATTTGAAAATAATAAGTGTGAATAACAAGGTATATAGTAATATTTTTAATATTATATATTTGATCAAATAATGAAGTTTAATGAAATATTTATATTATTATTATTATTATGAAAATTGGAAAAAAAAATCTAAACTTTAACATATTATTTTTTCTGATTTATATATATATATATAAATTGGAATAAATATACTAAAAATAAAATATAAATTACTTTTTAAAATGAAAAAATTATGAAATAATATATATATATATATTTATATTTATATTTTTTAAATTATAATTATAAATCACTAATTTAAATATATAAATATAATATAATAATATATTATTTAAATATTTATCCTTACTTAAAATTTCAAATATAATTAAATTGTATTTCTTAATATATTTTCAAAAGTTAATTATCACCTCCTTCCATTAAAATTAAAGAAAATACCTAATATTTTTTAATATTATATAAGTAAATATAAATTATGTAAATATAATATTTTTAATTAATTTAAATATTTTTGGAGCGAAAATTTTCATATTCAAATATTATTATTAATTATATTACACCCTCAATAAATTTTTTTCGTAATATTAAATTCAATTTTATAAAAATAGATTAATAAGATAAATTATTAATTTTTATATATTATAATATTATTATATATTTAGAATTAATCAAAGTCAGTGTGAGAATAAAATTTGATTGAAACATAATTTTCAACTTTGTAGACCATGAGTACCTAAATTTGAATATATGGCAGTCGCAGGAGAAGAACCATGTTGATGCGTCAGAAGGAATCTTGGATTTATCACACGTTTTGAACTCACTTTTGTGCTTGTGTTCCAATTTTTTGTCTGGCCAAACTTTTCCTATACCACAACTCTGAGTCGTTGTTATGCGTACACCAATCTCTTGGTATGATGTTGGTTACCATAACATGATTAGATGACTTTTTATATTTAAGGTATTCTTAGTTTTAAAATTTTTGTCTAATTTTGTCTTTTTAAATAATAAAATATAATATATATATATATATATATATATATATATATATATATATATATAAATTGTTTTTTATCTAATCAAGAAAATAATAAACATGGAATACTTACTAAAAATATCTAGAAATATTACAAGTCTGAAGAGTCTCATGGTAATTTTATTTAAACTAGATTTAGTATGTTCATGCTGTACCTACCGGATCTGATGGGAGACTATTTATAACAAGAACTTTTAATGTATGGAAAAAATTGATTTGATTTGATAATATCAATAAAAACATGAAACGAGTGATACCAAACTAAAGAAAACATTATTTACCTAATCGTACTAAACTTTGGCAAAGATAGACAAAAACATGTGATTTCTTAGTTTACTCGATCTGGAACCAAGTGACTTCTAGATTCTTACGAAAAATATTCTATCAATTAATATTTTTAAATACGTATTATAATAATGATAGTAAATTATAATTAATATTTTTATTATTCAGTTATATATAATATTTTATTAATATTATAACAATAAATAATATTATATTAATATTAAAATAATCAACATTAAACATATATAAATGATTTAAAATAATTTTCATAAGTTATATAAATAAAATTATTTTGTTTATATAGATTAATATGTATGCAATAGAATTTGACTATTAAATTTTAAAGTATTCATAATTAATATTAAATTATTCAAGCTTTTTCATTATTTTTTTAAAATTTATTTATTATTATAATACACCATTCTAATGAAGGTTACTATTTGAATTTGGAAAAGAATACGACCATTGTATGAGAAGTCTATTAGTGTAAAACAAGTTCTATTTTTAAGGATTTTTTAGTGGTTTGTTTTAGTCCAAATTTTCTCTAAAAAAATAAAATAAAATCCCATTAACGTTTCATTTGTTTATATGATAAGAGATAAGGTACATTTGTTTCAATAGAAATACAAAGAAAGTCAACTGCTTCTATATAAAATTATCTCTAGGCAAA